CCCACCCCCATCCTCACCGGCCCCCTCCCCCAGGCAGGTCCTGGTGATCCTGTCCCAGCTGGAGGGCAACGCAGGCTTCTCCATCACCCACCGCCTGGCACACCGCAAAGCCGCCCAGGCTTTCCTCAGTGACTGGACGGCCTCCAGGGGCACCCACAGCCCCCCTCTCACGCCGGAAGTCGCTGGCCTGCATGGCCCCCGGCCTCTGTGACCACCCCACCTTCCCAGCCCCCACGTGCACTTTATGAGGGAGACCCCAACAGAGGCCGCTTGAACCAGAATCTCAGGACCCCGCCCAGGGAGCCACTAGCTGCAGTAGCTTCCCCTAGGCCTTCCTCCCTGCCCCTTCCTCCTGCCCAGGGCCTCCCAGCTACCAAGCAGAATACCTCGAACCTGCCTCTGGCACAAGGGGCCTGTACTCCGGCCCCTCTGACCGGCCACCTCCAGGTCGGGTTCAGACTGCCAGGGCCAAACCAAGGTGAGGCTTCTCTTCCCTGGGGGCCTGGGGCCTCCTGCCTGGGTGAGGCAGCCAGGGGCACTGTTCCCAGAACCAGATCTGGGCAGGTCAGAAGCCAGGACCCCAGGGTGAGAGCGGGGATCGCTCCCGTGTAGGGGTCAGAGACTGGGACTCCAGGCTGAGCAGGGACCACCTTCCTCTGTGGGGGTGAGGACAGGGACCACCCCTCATGGGACATGAGATCAGGAGCCTTCTCGCCTCAGCTTACCCCCAGAGCACATTTCCCTGCCCTCCAGCCCCCACAAGGCAAGCAGGGGTCCTTGGAGTCCCAGCAGTGTGTCCCCGGAGGCAGGTGCCTGGCGACCGTGGGCTCAGGGCCAGGGATGGGGAAGGTCCCAGCTGCCCCTCTGGCGACACTATGCAATTCCTGGAGCGCCTGCCAGGATCGAAGCCATGCCCCGGGGGCTGGAGGTCAGGGCCTCCCGGTCAGGGTCCAGCCAGGCCCAGGTCCCGCCCTGCTGTTTGGTGTCCGCATCCCTGGCAGGCTCCCTGTCTAGGCACATGTAGGGCCCGGCGGCCCCTCCCTGCTCCTCCCCCACCTCAGAAGCCCAGGGAGCTGAGCTGCCGCTTGGCCACCCGGCCGTCCTCCCTTGAGGTTGCTGTCAGGCCAGAGAGCTGCAGTTGCCCGCAGACATCTGAGGCCAGCTTCCTGGGGGCCCCACCCAGCCTCGGTGTCCTGCAGCTCCCAGTCAGCGGGCAGCCCTGGGGGCCTTTTACACCTGGAGAAACACCGGGAGGCAGTCCACTCCCCTTTTACTCTGAGCTGTGAATATTTTTAACCCTGTATATATGGCCAGCTCTTCTGACACAGAGACTATTTTACCAATTGTCAGTCCCCATCCCTGTAGGATGGCTCTCCATGGGTGTTTCCAGACTCAGGCTCCAATGGACCAAATAAAAATGTTTTGTTTTGTAACAACGCCTGCTCGTCTGTCTGCTGCCCCTGCCAGGGTCCCTGGCCCCTCCCCTCCCTGTGCAGGCAGGGCTGTGCCGAGGGGCACCAGCCTGCCCGGTGGCAGCACCTCACTTGAGGGGGGCTTGCCAGCTGCCTGCACGTCGGAAGGGCTGGGGCTGGGGGTCCGGGCAGGGCAGAGGCTTGGGGCAGACCTTGGGGCTGCCACGGTCAGCAGGCGGATCCCACGCATACAGCACACCCTGCCACGGTCAGCAGACCGGTCCCCACGCACACAGGACAGTACTTTTCCCTGTGGAATCTGCTTCCAGGGGTTCCGTCTGAACCCGTCAGGCTCGTTAGGCGGGAGCAGATGGAGTGAGGGGCTGCACTGGGAGAAAAGTTTCCGTCTGGGACGGCAGCTGTCCTGCTCCTGCTCGGCCCCGGCCAGCCCACGTCCCCTCCTGCCCATCCTGGGAGGCCCCATCCCCGTGTCTCAGGTGGCGGGCCGAGGCGGGCGTGCCGAGTGGCTCACCGGGCTGCAGTTTGCACAGCGGGGGCCGCCCCCCCACACACACACCCAGAGGCTGCGGTGGGGGGGGGGGGGGCTGCACAGGCCGGTGCTCGGGCGGGTGTAAGAGGCCTGTCACAGGCCAGCCTATCGAATGTGAAAGCAATTAAAGCCACCAGCAGTGTTCGCTCCGGGCGGGCCTCGGGCAGCGGGGCAGCTGCCACAACACATCTCACGGGCGCCCTGCTCCACCGCGGCTGCGCCGGTCACACTGGGCCTCGTCCTGTGGGGTGGGGGCCCAGGCGCGTCCACCTTGAGTTGGCACGGGGCTGGCCCTGTCACCCCTGAGGTGTCCCAGCATCCTGGGCCACGTCCCTCCCTGGGACAACCCAGGAAGCAAGACGTGAGGACAGCGGGCTCCTGACATCCTTGGGTCCCGCCAGGCCGCAGTCTCCACACGAGGCCGGAGTTGGGGGGGGCTGCTGTGTGCCCACCCCCTCCCCTAGAACCCCAGTGTGCACGGGAGGAGGCTCTAGCAGGGAGGGGGTGGTAGAAAGAGGGGCCACGTGGCCCCAGCCTGAAAGGGCACACGGTGTCTGGGAAGGAGTTGGGGGACCCCATAGTCCAGACCCTTAGTTTTGATTCAGGAGCTCACAGGAGGTGCTGGAAGGGGGTCGAGGTGGGCGCTTGGCCAGGATCAGGGGTGTGGACTTAGCCACCAAGCCCTTGGCCGTGGCTGGCCTCACCTGGACCCCAGGGCCACCAAAATGGGGATCGGGCGCAAGGCCAGAGGCCGTCCCCCTTCTGTTGGGTCCCGGCTCCCCACCTCAGCCCACTGCCTCCTGTGTCTCCCACCCTCTGGCCGCTGAAGCTGCTGGTCCTGGGCCCTCCTCCCCATCTCTGCCTGCCAGGTTGGCCTTGGGCCTCCCACAGCCCTCTCTCCTGGCCTCCCGGCCAGGCCACCTCACTGCCCACACGGCCACGGCGGCCTTCTCCAGGCGGGCGGTGGTGTGTTCTCACTTGTGAAGCGTCCCTGTCAGAAGCACTTAGTGTACAAATTAGCCGCGGCCTCCCGCCTCCCTCTGCACGGCTGTGGGCGCCGGGCTGACAGGGCCGAGGCTCCGGGCGCTCTCCCGCCTGCCCCGGGCGCCCACACAGCCCGCGTGCACCCTTGGCCGCCCGCCCACGACTGAGCAGGAGGGCTGTTTCTTGCCAACCAGCCAGGGGTCCTCCCGGGGCCCCCGACCCTGACCTGGCCAGGGAGAGGGGTGGAGGGACCGCAACAGGGCAGGGCATTCAGCAAGATCCCGGGGGTCCCAAGCTCAAGGCCCAGCACTTGGACCTACCCCAGAGTTGCAGGTCCAGTGTTGAGAGCCTTGGGGGGGACCTAGAGCCGGCACAGAGGCTCGGCAGCCCCCACCTGCCCCTCCTGTTGGCTGGCCTGCCAC